ACTTCTCCCGTTTCTCCAGTGGCCGTGTTCCTGGCTTTACCAGATCCACCACTTACCTCCTCACTAAGAATGGGCACCAGGCACTTGACAATCACTGGATATTCGGGGACATGGCATCTGCTTACCTTTCACAATTAGCAAACCAATATCCCGAACTCAGAAAGTGGAAGGAGGTGGAGAAGGATGGTATGCAAGAGTTACTAACTTGAACACGGTTAATTCTGCCTGCCAACCTGAGAAATAGACTGACCAAGCGACCGTCATTTTTCCTTCAATGGAGGTATCCAATAAGATGAGCGAAGTGTTCCTCCAGTTCTCTTTTGTGGGGAGAAAGGTTGAAAGGGAAATCCTATTCCTTCCTATAGTAGAAGTCTAAGTGTGAGAGAAGGGGGAGAAGAGTTTCTCCTGATACCAGCCCTGTTCCTTGGCGGTGTTGAATGTTACTTGGGATTGGTTATAATTAATTCATGGGGATACCGGCCTGCCTGGTTGAGTGATTTTCCCAGAAACATTCAGCCGCATGCTGGACTGCTCCAGATACGAATTTTCCCTGATGAGTGTAGCTGTGGGGGAGGAGCTTGAAAATTTAGGTATTTCCAAGAGACCAATAATAGTGATGTCTCACAGAACAACGAAAGAGGTAAAAAATAGGAGGGTATTAATGTAATTGGTAGAGAGTAACAGAGTTACTCAGTAGATTACAAATGTGGATACAGTTTTAAAATTGTCACTGAACATGGGCTGCAGAGTGTGAGATTTTGATCAAAAGTAGGCCCTAAGGGGCGCCTGGGTGGCTCAGTGGGTTAAGCCTCTGCCTTCGGCTCAGGTCATGATCCCAGGGTGCTGGGATCGAGCCCCACATCCGGCTCTCTGCTCAGCGGGGAGCCTGCTTCCTCCTCTCTCTCTGCCTGCCTCTCTGCCTACTTGTGATCTCTCTCTCTATCCAACAAATAAATAAAATCTTAAAAAAAAAAAAAGTAGGCTGTAAATCCACAGGTTTGGATGTAGTGAATTTCTGATAAAGAAAACGAAGTAGATGAGAAAGGAAGAATAGAGGGGGTGGTTCTTTAGAAAAGAGGAGAGGAAGTCGAGTAGCAGAGGTGACAGCAGACAACCCATCCAGTAACAGGAGCAGAATGACAGGAATTGAGACGGAAAGCAAAGCAAAGCACTAATGTCTTCAGCACCTGGAGAATGGCCACGCACTTGGCTGATGACAACAGATGATAGAGCCAGATGGCATATGCCTCAGAGGAGCAGAGAAGTTGTGGATTTTTTGGGTTTTTCTTTCTGGTTTTGTTTTGTTCTGTTTTTGTTTTTTTTGTTTTTTTTTTTTTGTTTTTTTATGACACGGGCTGGAGAGAATTATCTGGAAGTGGCATTGGGGAAGCAGAAACCATCTCCTCCAGATCCTGTAGAAAGAGCAACTCAGTCATGCTGCAGGGAAGCCGTGTGATCAGGAAATGAAATTACATACAGCAGGTGTCAGTAAAGGCAAGGAGAAGGGGAAAACATTCTGCCAGGAGACAAGTCTTTGAATATGGGATAGCAGTCACTCATAATGTAGCTTTCAGGTGTATAAGACCCAGTAGGTTTCTTTAATACTCAAAACCAAACTGGGGTGCCAGCCTTGGGGCTCGATCCCGGGACCCTGGGATCATGACCTGAGCCAAAGGCAGACACTCAGCCGACTGAGCCACCTAGGCACCCCAAAAATAAAATCTTAAAAAAAAGATCAGATCTTCCACTTGGGAGGGACAAGGGTCTGCTGAGTACTTGTATCCCTGAAGCTGTCCCCCATGATTCACCTTCCCCATTATACCAGCATTGTGCTGGATTCAGCAGGTGCCATATCCCCTTCCCAGTTTTGCCAGAGGGTAACCTCATAACTCTTAATTTTTCTCGGAACACACCTGAGACCAGATTGGAATCCATTCCTTTTTCTCTCCCTTCCTTCTCTTCTTTCCTTCCTTCCATTTCCCCCTCCCCTAATATTTTTTTCCCTTTCTTTAAATCATCCATTCATTCAGTGAGACTTTCAAAGCCCAGAAGGAAATAGTTAAAGTAACCCACCGCAAGATGTTGTTGCCTACAGAGAACTGCTACTCTCATCAACTCTGCAATTCTTTGTAGGGAGGCCGACCTACATAGTTCTTCTAGGATCTGTACCCTGCTTCTATATCACTTGTGAGAACTTCTGGAGACCTCACTGTGACCCAAGAGAGCAGGTCCAAAGAAAGATAGTTGCTCCTCATCTCCCTTCCGTAAGACCTGCCTTTCAAGTTCTGGTTTTCGGTCTATAGGCCTGGCTCTTCCCCTTAATAACTGACAGCAGGATTGCCCAGTTTTAGGGGAGACCTGTCCCCCTGGGACAACCATATCTGAATCAGAAACCTGACCAGATCAGAATTCTAAACCTAATATCCATGCCCACACATAGAAGCTGAAGATCAAGTTATTATATAGAAAATGACAGGGGTGTCTGTGATCAAGCCCCACACTGGGCCCTCTGCTAGGTGGGGAGCCTGCTTCCCCCTCTCTCTCTGCCTGCTTGTAATCTCTCTCTCTGTTAAATAAATAAATAAAAGAAAATCTTTTAAAAAAATGACAGATGTCATATTGAGACCATTTATTCCAACTAATCATTAATAAGGGCTGTTTTATACTGTACATGGTATCTATTTTGCTATAATTTCATGCTATAGAATAACTTGCCAGCTGTATTCCCAGTGTGTTTGCAAAATAAATACAAAGGGCTAGAAAACATGGCATTTCCCACAGTGTAAGACATGCCTCTGCCTAATACAAAAGCAGTTCAGCTGCTTTTGTAGTTTTGTGTTCAACCACAAAAGTATGTCTTTATAAATTAAACTAATGGTAGATTAAATAGGGGGGATAAAAGTAATGCAGACTTGGTGATGGGTAAATTAAAGCTTTGGGTCCAATAATGTAGCCTTAATTATGTTTATTTTAAGGCCCTGCACGCCTGCCTAAATTCACACGTATAAAGATAACTAGCAAAACAGTAACAAGTTATCCTTCAATTTTTTTTTTTTATGTTCAGCAACTTAAATGAACTACATTTGAAGCTTGCCAAAGTTGGTGGGAGATTTTTTCTTATTGTCAGTGGCTGTGTAGTGCAGTAGTCCTTGAGAATCTCTCTACTAAGAATTCTGAAGAGGGGGCACCTGGATGGCCCAGTCAGTTAAACGTCCCATTCTTGATTTCGGTTGAGGTCGTGATCTCAGGATTATGAGATCGAGCCCCACGTCAGGGGAGTCTGCTGGGGATTCTCTCCCACTCCTTCTGCCCCTCTCCTGCTCTCTCGCCCACTCTCTCTCTCCAAAGTAAATTAAAAAAAATAATAAAATAAAATCTGGGGCCCCTGGATAGCTCAGCCGGTTGAGTGTCTGCCTTCAGCTCAGGTCATGATCCCAGGCTCTTGGGATCGAGTCCCAAGTTGGGCTCCTTGCTCAGTGGGGAGTCTGCTTCTCCCTCTGCCTCTGCCTGCGGCTCCCCCTGCTTGTACACTCTCTTTGTCAAATAAATAGATAAAATCTTAAAAAAAAAAAAAAAAAGAATCCTGAGGAGAAGCAGGGAAGCAAACGAAAGGGAAAGAAAAAAGAGGTGAAGTACTTTCTTCACACTCCCACAACAAATGGTGTTTGGGGTATTGGGTCACTGAACTGAGCTGTGATTTCAGCAGTAAGGGTAATGAAGGTACAGAAGAGATGGGAGAGAGTACCAGTTGCCCTGCAGACCCCCCACAAAGATCTTTGGGGGTCAGATGAACTTCATTAAGGATCATCTCAATGTTCAAGATCGTTGACTGCTCAGAAACAGACACAGACCATCTTTGCTTCGTACAACACTTAACACTTTTCCTCCCCATTAAGATTAATCAGTCCAGTATAACAAATATCAAGTGACATCTGTCATTTGCCAGGCAGTATGATTGTTGGATACTTGAGAAAAGATGACCCTCAAGAGCCTTGAGTTGAGTGGGAGACATACTAGCCAATCCAATCAGCACATGGTGAAAACGGATATAATCATAATGGCAATATGCCAGAGGCTCAATGGAGTTAGAAGATTGCCTAAGAGAGGTGGAGAACAGATACCAGGAGCAGGGAAGGCTTCTCATATATATGATTTTTGAACTTGTGCTTGAAGGAGAAATAGGAGTTATCTAGGCAGAAAAGGGTAGAAGACATTCTAGGTGGAAAAAATAACATGTAAAGGCAAGAAATAGAAGAAAGAGTATGGCCTTGCCACCTTGCCTCATGGTTCGATCAGGAAATAAACAGCACATTTGAAGGGTTAACTAAAAGTTTAATGAAGTGGGAAATGACCATGTCTGGAAGTATGGACAAGGTGAAGGACGTCAGCAAAGGATGGGGAGGCATTCGGAGTTAGCAATGACGAGAAGCCATTCACCACCTGGCCAAAAGAGACAGGAAGGAGAATGGGATTTCCCAAACCCAGTGGAACCCATTAGAAAGGTGCTTCCCGATGGGAGCCATGACCAGAAACAGGAACACAGCTGGTCCTCAGCCATGGTCTGGCTGAGACAAAGAGAAGAGTGGACACCCAACCTCTTTCCTCTGGTCTCCAGCTGGTGCTTCCATGGGCTGGACCTCACTGCAACTGGGCAACTTCACCCAATCTTTCTATATCCCTATTTTTAATCCCAGTAATATAATAATGACTCTTAGCAGATACTTGAACATAAAAACGAATCATTGTAAGTGCAAGATGACAGACGATGTAAGTCCTTTTGTCCGTTTAAGAATAACCACACTTCAATGTTCTGTCCTTGGATGAAAGCAGCTCGCCTGTTAGTTTCAGAGCATTTTTGTCCACTTAAGACACTTCCTGTTTGATTTCTAAGTTCGGGTTAAGTCACATTGAGCTACCTTCACCTTTTATTACGGTGCTACATTGGAAGGGGAGAAGCAGAACGTGTCCTTTGACAACCCGTTTTTCTCCTTATTTTCCAGATCGATAACACGATCTTACTACCGCAACTCAGTTGGTGGGTTTTTGGTGTTTGACATCACCAACAGACGATCTTTCGAACACGTGAAAGATTGGCTGGAGGAGGCAAAAATGCACGTGCAGCCATTTCGGATTGTGTTTCTGCTGGTGGGGCACAAGTGTGACTTGGCTTCGCGACGTCAGGTGACGAGGGAAGAAGCCGAAAACCTGTCCGCAGACTGTGGTATGAAGTATATAGAAACCTCCGCCAAAGATGCCACAAATGTCGAGGAATCCTTCACCATCTTGACGAGAGACATTTATGAGCTTATTAAAAGGGGGGAAATTTGTATTCAGGATGGCTGGGAAGGGGTTAAAAGTGGTTTTGTTCCAAATACTGTGCATTCTTCCGAGGAGGCAGTGAAGCCCAGAAAAGAGTGCTTCTGCTGACTTCAGACGGGCCAAAGAACGGCGGTGGAGAGACGGGGTCATCTCGGGATAAGCACCAACATCACGGTCACGAGAAAGATTCCCGCCCGCCTCCACCCTCCTTTGGAAGGTATTTAATTCAGATTGCTATGCTTCCCTGCTACACTACCACACTGGGTATTTTGCTCAGTTATCAGGCAAAGCAGACAACTTTTTCTTGAAACTTGAGCATCTACAGAATTACTCCCATTCCCACATCGTTAGCGTATTAGCTCACTTTAATGTCCACGTATATCCATATTACTCATTTTTCTTGACAATTAGAAATGAGTGTTTTGGGGGTATACAGTCCGACCGGGAAGATTGTATCAGGCCTTGCATTCTCATGAGTTAATTTGTTGATATGGAATAGTAAAGTGGATTTCAGCGTGCACTGTTGGCTTACGAAGTAAACGATCTCAGATGTGTCATCAGCTGGGACTAAAATAACACTTCCTTGTATAAGGTGCCGCGTTTTTAACCATTCTGTGAAATGTTTATCCTCCCTTAATTTGCCTGAACATAACAAAATAAGTTTTATACTCTTTTTTGTTCTCTTATTTACTGCTCCTCATAATCTTATGTTTTATAAAGATATCTAAGGATCCAAGCAGAATATTTTATTGCAAATATTCATAAAAATAAAACGAAGGACTGTTCATCAGCTTATGTTTTAATGTTATAGTATATTGTCCTTGTTTAGATAAGAAAAACAAATTTATTTATGTACAGGCATTTTCAAAGAAAGTAAATGCAGCTTGCCATGAACTATTGTTAAAACTATTGATATAAGTAAATATGGAAGGTTTTTAGAGATCGCTTTGCTGTCCACATAAGTTTCTGAATTTCCCTATTTCTGGTACAAGATAATTATACGAAATATTTCTGGACAAAGAAGATTGGTTAGATGTTTGAATTTAGCATTCAAATTGCATTTCAGTAAAATTAAAGATAAAATAATGAGTTAGGGCTGCAAAATGACTTCAGAGTTTTCTAATTTTTAATTTATTGATTAAATTCTCCTCCTGAAGGGACATTGTGATCACAAACTCATATTTTATAACCTACATTTCCATTCTCTTAACCATCCCTCATCACAGAGGGGCATCAAAAGCAGCCCCCTTCCTGAAATCATGGTTTTACTGTTAAAATAGTATCTCCATTTGTTTGAAAACCAAAGTGATATGATGGAAAGAATATTTAACGAAAAACCAGAAAACCTGGGTCCTAAGCTTGCCGTTTCTGTACCAGTACTTGGGCATGAGTGAGTCGCTTAACCTCACTGCATGTCAGTGCTCTCCACTGTAAAATGAGGCTAATAAGCCCATTTGTTTTGCTTCATGGGATTATTTTGAGAATCAAGTGCATCGTGTGAATAGCTCCATAAAGAAAAAGCATTTTGCAAAGATGAGCCTGGTATCAGCTCCTCCTGGGCATACTATTATTATATGTACAATGGTTGAGAATTTTGTTTTCTCATGTTCTTTCCTTTCGTCCCCACATTCTGCAGAGGGAGCAGAAGAAGGTGCATAATTTTGTGGACCTGGGGGACCTCTCTTGGTTTCGTGTATGCCCTCCGCCCTCTTGCTCTGAAACACCGCTCCTCCACTGTGGAAATAATAGGGAGGGAAATCCCAGGAGACTTAATTCAATCAGAAGTCATGTTTGAATGTGGGTTTTGTGCATCTTTGAAGTAGGTATTTAATTATATTTTAAATACTTGCACATTTTCTAGGTTTGTGGAAGTATTTCTAGTAGTGCTTATGGAAAGAAGAATATAAATTATAACATCACTGTAATATCGTGAAGAGTTCTATTGTCAACATTTTCTTGATATCCTTGTATTAATTTCACTCGAGGGAGTTCAAACTGTAATTGATCAGATGAGAAGAGCTGTCCCCCAAACCTGAAGTCATCTATTTTCACTGCGGCAGTTGTAAATCTCGGAAACTGAGTATCTAGCAACAATTTAAAGTACAGGGCCCCTGTGCCTACTTGTAAAGCTAAACTATAAAATATGACTTAACTTTCAGTGGATGCCCTTTATAAGACTAACATTAGGGTAAGACTAATAATCAGCCTGGAGGGTACGATGTGTTCCAAGATTTAGAATAGAACCACAGAGTCAGAAGAAAGAAATGGAAGTGCAGGGCCCCCCAAAATTGATACTTCACCAAGGTCACACAAAAGCAGAAGCAAGCTAGAACTCTGCCTGGTCGGGGTTCCTTCCGTATCTCTGCTGTGTCAGGGGTGTGTGCACGTGTGTCCATGTGTGGCAAAGCAAAGCGAAAATATGATCTAGCTGAATCTACAAAATACTAAAACTGGGCCATAACAATCTGAACTTATAGAAGAGTTGTTTGTGGTGTACCAATACTAAAATGAACAGTAACTACAAAGATTGGAGTTTTTTTTTTTTTTTTTAAGATTTTATTTATTTATTTGACAGGCAGAGATCACAAGTAGGCAGAGAGGCAGGCAGAGAGAGAGGAGGAAGCAGGCTCCCTCCTGAGCAGAGAACCTGATGCGGGACTCGATCCCAGGACCCTGGGATCATGACCTGGGCCAAAGGCAGAGGCTTTAACCCACTGAGCCACTCAGATGCCCCAAAGATTGGAGTTCTTACGCAAACTTGCCAAATGTCTGTATAACCTTAGCCAGATATTTTTTCCACATATATATAGATAGATATAGATACATAAAATAACTGACCTATTTTCTTACACATTATTATGGAGAAGATGGATGATGACGCCAAAATGATAAAAATAGTTGCTCCAGGCAAAACATTTGGACTGTCTTACAAGTCAGATATACTTGAATCAGATGTACTTGAAATTATTTAATTTAAAATTTACTTAATTTAAATATAAACCTATTTAAATTTAAAATTCAGAATGGATGATGTAGCTAATTACCAAACATTTTAAATAAACATGATAAAGAAGAAATGAAAAACCCTCTGATCGTATGATACACTGGGCCCTGACACTTTGCGTCTTGAGTTGCATTAACCCTTTCAGTGCCTGAGTAAATGGGATGGTTCATTAAATGGTAAGCTTAAGCCAAAACAATTTTGTAAATGGAATGCTTCTAAATGTGGCCTTTGTACACCTAAGAGGAGCAATCAAGATTTCTTTGAGAGTTTACACTAGGTTTCCAAAAGCCTCCAAGTCCTCCATGATTTTTTTTAGCGGCAACCAAAGTAGCCTTTATTATTGTTAAGATAACTACCAATCTATTTATCCAACTTTACGGCATCCAGAAACTGAATCTGTGGACTAATAAAATCCTTTTAAGAGTGCTTTTGATTTTATATTGCCTTGGTTCCATCACATACAAAGCTTCCGCTGACTTCAAAGTGTGCACTGTATTTGAATAATTTCCTTAGGTCTGACAGAGTCACAAGGATTTGAAAGCCTGAAGACCCATTGCAGAAGCTAATTCATTTGTTCCCCAGTAACTGCCTGGAGAGATGTAGTTGGAAATGCACAGGAAACGTGTAAATCTTTAAGGGGTGGGGGAGAAGAAGAGGAAGAAAGACTATAAAGGCTTTTAAAGATAGATCCCTTGAATGTTAATATAGAATACATTCCCAACAAGAAGCTCGCTCTTGGAAATTCCACAGCTGATAAATAGCCATCTCTATTTCAAAATCTTTCTAAATCCCAGTGTTTTCACCAAACTTTCCTGAGCGACCAATCCTCACCTGATCTTAACTAACACTTTTCTCCTGAACTTGGAGGAACTGCTACATGACTTGGTATTTCCGTAATCCTAATCACCGATGGAAGTAGACACGTGAGTGCTGAGCTGTGACAATCTGTAACAATCATTGCAGACTGTGATTCACTTACTACGCATTACGATGGTAGAGAATAAATGAAGAGAAAAGAAAACTTTTGAAGATTATATTTTAAATGAGTGCTCCTTGTTGTTACTCTCTGGAAAATTTGTCTTTTTTAAATAGTGCCTAAAACATTGTCTTATCGGTGTGCTCTTTAGTGACTAGTAATCAATGATTATTATGTTGAATAATTCCTATTAAATGTGGATTCCATATACATAGTTTAAATTTCTACATTCCACAGAGAAACAAACTGGTTTGGCTACAATCATCTCTTGCCTGTTTTTTTTTTTTTTAGAATGACAGCCAATGGAAGAAAGACATGGTCTACATTTTTTCGAAGTGTGTTATTAGTGTTATTTGATTTTAAATAATGAATAAAAAGAATGAGAATGAGAACTTGGTTGTCCCAGGACTATTACATTACTCGTCTTTAGTGGTTCTTTCAAAACAGAAGCAAAGATTTAATGTAATTAAATGTGTGTGTGTGTGTGTGTGTGTGTGTTTGCAAATGAAATGCAAATAAGAATGAGATCTGAAATCCCATATATATTACAGAATACCCTGGCCGAGTGTGGGGCAGAACCCCATAATCAATCATTTATATATATACAGCAAAACACATGAATAACCTGTCTGTAAATAACCTGTCCTCAATTGAGATCAGACTTTTTTGCTACCAAATGAGTTTTCAAGAGCATTGGAGATTTTCAGAGCTTCTTGGGTTTCAGAATTTCAAAAAAGGATCATGGTCTTTAATTATACCTTAAAAGGTAACACAGAATTTGAGACTTTTCTGTCCTTATTTCATCTTTTTCATACTTCAGCCTTGCACATAGCCAGAGCTCATCAAGTTTTGAGTCGAGCTAATCACACAGAAAAAGATTTCATAGCTTCTGCACAGATAACCAGTTACACGTGTGAAATACTTACCACACTTGGCACGTAGTAAGTACTCAGTAAATGTCACCTTTTATTTTTGTTGTTAGTAGTCTTACAACCACCGAATTGCTGAGAAGCCAGTTTTAATCCCCATGATGCGCCAGAAATTAATTGTTGATAATGGCAGTCGTACAGATCACTGCCAAGGGTCATGACTCTCTGTAATGGTCTGATTCTTAGAATCAGGGGAGAGCACTTTAGCAGGACAAGCGGAAGATGATACAGTTATTGGGGACGGCTGACGTTCCCCGACAGCATCTCACCCAACGGACAGGTGATCAAATGAGTGTGGCCATCGTGTCTCAACCGAGATGCTAGAAACAGTCATCACCAGAAGAGTTAGTGCGTGTGCCCGGTGCGGTAAGGAACCTGGGCCAAAAAGGATTGGGCTTCTTCGTTATGTATAAAATTATTCTCTGTAGCACTGTTTTGTTTTTTCTTAAAGGTATTTTGGAAATAGCTTTACTGACATAGAATTCACGTACTGCACAATTCACCCATTAAAGATGTATAATTAGATGGTTTTTCAGATACTCCAAAATGTGCAACCATCACCATAATCAATTTTAGAACATTTTTGTCACCTCAAAAAGGAAACCCAACACCCTTTAGCTCTCGCTCCCAACACCCGTCCCAACTCACACCACCTGAGTCTTAAACAACCACTGAATCTACTTTGTGTCTCTATTTGCCTATACTGGACATTTTATATAAAGGGAATCAAATAATATGTCACCTTTTGTGACTGGCTTCCTTCAGTTGGCATGTTTTTAAGGTAGTATCCTTATTTATCTTTTTATTTTTATAGTTAGCTCTGTGCCCAATGTGGGGCTTGAACCCGCAACTCTTAGGTCAAGAGTTGCATGCTCTACCAACTGAGGCAGCCAGACACCCAGTACCACTATTTTAATAAAAGAATCCCCACTGTGTAAACAGTATTAGTTCACTGTACCACATTTGGGCAATAGAGAAAATAAAAGAGGGGCACCTAGGTGGCTCAGTCCAGTAAGCTTCCACTTCTTGGTTTCAGCTCGGGTCCTGCTCTCAGGGTAGTGGGATTGATTCCCATGTCAAGCTCGGTGCTCAGTGAGGAGTCTGCTTGTCACTCTCCCTCTACCCCTCCCCCCGCTCAAGCTTTCTCTCTTTCTCTAAAATAAATTAATAAAATCTTAAAAAAAAAAAAAAGGAAAGAAAAATAGAAGACAGGAAAATCACCATTACACCCATCACCTGAAAAATGATTATTACAATATTTAATCTGTTGCCTCTTTGTAATAATGCAACCATGTTGTAAAACAGAAAAAAATCTAACAATAGAGATATAAAGTGGAAAGTGAAAATTTCCTTTTACCCTCTCCAATTCCATTTCCCTTAAGAGACAATCACTGTTCACAATTTTATATTTATCTTTCATGTCTTTTTCCTATGTATTTGTACATAAAATACACACATGATGGGTAAGCGACCCCACAAATGAGATCAGTTATAACATTGCTCTGTAACTTGCTTTTTTGCACATGATAGGGTCTTGGAAAGCTCTTCCATTTTGATACAGACTGATTTTGATAGCTTCATAGAATGTCATATATTGTGGGAAATACGATTTATTGAACCACTCTTGATAATAGATGCTTAGATTGTTTCCAGTTTTTTGCTACTATAAATAATGTTGCAATAAACATATTAGTGAACATATTTTTGGGGAAAATGTGTGAGAAATTTTGTCTGATATATTCCCAGAAGTGTGCTGGTTCAGAGGTCATTGCACATCTTTTTTTTTTTTTTAAACATTTTATTTATTTATTTGACAGGGAACACAAGTAGACACAGAGGCAGGCAGAGAGAGAGGGGAAGCAGGTTCCTTGCTGAGCAGAGAGCCCGATGCGGTGCTCGATCCCAGGACCCTGAGACCATAACCTGAGCCGAAGGCAGAGGCTTAACCCACTGAGCCACCCAGGCACCCCAATTTGCACATATTTTTAATGGATCTTGCCAATTTCCTTTAAAAAGAATAGGCCAGGGTGCCTGGGTGGCTCAGTGGGTTAAGCCGCTGCCTTCGGCTCAGGTCATGATCTCAGGGTCCTGGGATCGAGTCCCGCATCGGGCTCTCTGCTCAGCAGGGAGCCTGCTTCCCTCTCTCTCTCTCTCTCTGCCTGCCTCTCTGCTACTTGTGATCTCTCTCTGTCAAATAAATAAATAAAATCTTAAAAAAAAAAAAAGAATAGGCCAGTGATTTTTCAAAGAAGAGTTTATAAGAACATTTGTTTCCTCAGATCCTTCATCAGTACCAAATAATGGCAAAATTTTGATATACTGACAAATGATGGGCAAGCATATTTTCATTTTATTTTACTTATTTTTTTTAAAAAGTATTCTTGTTAATTTGCATTTTTCTGTTCTGAGTCTGAGTTGCATCCATACATTTATTGATCATTTGTATTTCTTTGGTGAATTCTCTCAATATCCTTTTCCAATTTTCAATTGGATTATTAGAATTTTTCTTAATGATTTTTTTAAGGACCATTTTCTATAATATGGACAGAAGTGCTTTGTTTTGTGTGTTGAGATTATTCTCTTACAGCCAGGAATAGCCTTTGTATGTTTTCTTTTGT